TTTAAAGATGTAAAGCCTTATTAATCTTTTAATCAAATGGAGGCGAAATGAATTATAAGTGAAAGAGAACATACGAAGAAGAGGCTTCAAGAATGATGCGACCAATGTCTACCATTCTCAAAAGATAATACAGAATAGCGAAGGGACACAATTACACAAACTTGAAAACACTGTATTTGTAGCAATAGCGAAATGAGTTAATATATTCAAAGACTACACATTTTTTTTATAGAAAAGTATATTTGCTTTGGGTCAATTATAGAAAAGTATCATATATAATCTGAAAATGCAACGAATATCAAGAAAGAACTTTTTATGGTTTTTTACTTAAATAATATATTTTTACTTAGCTTATTTTATAATACCCAAGCTCCATTTTTGTAATTTATTTTAATTTTTATCAACCAATTAAACTTTATTACAAATGATATACCTTTTTACAAATATATACTTAAGAACAATTTATTTTGTTGAAATAAAATATATAGAAAAGGATTCTTACAAATATTTATTAGTATATGCAATTCTTAAGAACAATTTATTTTGGCTTCTATTTTTTATTAGTTATCAGAACCTTTAATTTCGTCCTTGTTTTGGAAAAGAATAATACAGTTTGACTTTAGTTTTTATTATATAGAATGAACATTCTCAAAATCGAATCTTTTTGACCAACATTTTCTTAAGCAACATAATAAGATCGTACGTTGATCCTCAACTATAAATCATGGTTTGTAATCCATAGATCTTATTGATGTTCAGATACTCTTGACTGTAGACATACCATATATTTTACGTGTATCAGATGTATCGATATTATCTCAATTAAGATGTAAGCGGTTGTCACCTTATTAAATAATCATTTGTTTTATATTAAGTGTCATTATTGAGAAAAAAATTCCTTACAAGATAAATATCATTTTTGATTTTCAATGCAAATTTTCTTTTGTAAATTATTTTTATTCATTAAAATATGATTAAGTATATATAAATAATTGTGTTTTATATAGAAAATATACACAATTAATTATTTCTTTAATCTGTGTGCATAAATTTTAAAAGACACTTAAAATGAAATAGATAAAGTATTAAAGAACAAATTATGTACTGAAATCGGAACGAAAAATAAAAAGTGAATGAAGCCTTAAACTAAGAAATTATCTGCTGTTTGAGATAGAATTTATTCATTTATCAAATCAGTATCTTGATTATGCAGACTTAATATAGGATTCTTGCATGAAAATGTCCACACACATGTTTAACAATCTCTCACATAGAACCATCACATTGATTTATCAATAAATCTTCAAAAATATCATCTCTACCTCACAAATATGGGCGATTGGTTGGACTGTAACTGTAAAAATCTTACTGTAGAATTTAGTCTGTAGAATTTTTAGATGTAGCTGAATCTAATGTAGCTGTAGAAATTAAATGAAAAAATAAAAAAGGAAAAATATTCCTACAGCAATCCTACATCAATATTTTTTTGCTCTAGAAAATAAGACTTCTAGAGCAATTTTTTTTACTTTTTTGACTTTAGCTTTAAAAACTACTTAAAGCATGATTGGTGATTTATATGGTTGTAGATATAAAATAAAGCTAAAGTCATTAGTTAAAGCCCAACCAACCACCCTATCCTCATTAATTTTCTCATTGCCTATATCTAATATTCAAAAAATAACAATGATCAATTTGTTAAAAGCTTTTTATATTAATTTCTAATCAATGAATTTAATCATGCTTGTGATTATATATTTTTGCTAAGGTTATTTTATTTTACAAATAACTGTAATAAACACTTACGTTTTTCATTTTTCATATTTTATTTAGAGAAATTTCCTATGATGACACTAAATATAGCGCACAAGGATCAACTAACCAAAATATTTCATTGATAATTTAAATACATATTTATACATTTAGGGTTGATTGACCTAAAATTAGAATTTAGATTTAAGGGTAGGTTTTAGTGGGGGTAGATTTAGGTTTTTAAAAAATAATTAATATTTAAAATAAAACTTTTAGAAATAATTTCAAATAAAATTTGGATTTCAAGATAAAATTTCGAAAAAAGTTCTAACTGAAAAACGTATTGTTCAAAAATAATAAAATAATAAAATTTTATTTTGTTTTATTTTTATTTTATATATATAATTAATTAATTATATTTATATAAATCTGTAAAGTAAGGGTAAAGAGCTTTTTATCTCTTTAATGAAATTTATTTTGGTCATTTTCTTCTTTATATGCTCTTTTGATGAAAAAACTCATTTTATGGTATTTGATAGAATTGCCATTTTAATTAATACATAAAGTTTAACTTATAATCATTTCTTTTTGATAATTATGGGTTTATTGGGATTATAGATGTTCATAAGAAAAACATTGTTGGGCTTAGTTTTGGTTGGTGTTCTTTGTTAGATTTTGATTTGTACTACTTTGGTTTATAGAATGCAATATTAACATTTTTCTTAGTTTTAGCAGATTGAGTCTCCTGACGTGGATCAAACAGTGTCGATTATGCCGATAATGGTTAAAGTTGTAAATTTTACTTGGAATGACTGTGAAGATGAAATAGGGGCCAATACATAACCTAGGTTAACCGTTAAAAAATAGGTTAATCTGAACTTTTACTTTTCTTAAAAACGTATAAGAACATCCCCAATAAATTCTAGCTCTGGAGTTATCAATATATATATATATATATATATATATATGTATTTTGAGAATTATAGAGCTATACTCGCCCATTAAAGATGCTTTAAGATCCATAATAATAACATATTAGGTCTGAATCTTTTTAGGTAAGGGTTAGATTGATGTTATAACCGGAAATTTTTTTTCCATTGTTCAGATTCTATTTCATTTCAACAAATATGCATATAAAGATTTAGCTTTCTATTTCTTTTTATTTAGTTTTTGGATTAAACAGCTTTTATGATATAAATTATTTTTGCATAATAACACAAGATATACTATTGTTTAGGTCATGATGGTTTTCTAGGAAATGATAATTGTTGAAATCGCTGAATATATGCCTTTTATATTATTCAGAACTCAATTCGATTAATTTTTTTACTTGATTAATATATATACATATGTATCTTTATGTTTCTTAATTGTTTACTTAATATTTCCTAAATTTTTGGAGCTAAGTTTAAAACATTTGATAATACACACACTATATAAGAACCATGAGAAATTGTTGCTATACCTTGAACCATTAGAGCAACAGCAGTGATCATAAGTGAATGCGACTCTTTAAAACAATAAAATATTAACATATAATTACATATTTTTATTTTATTTTGTTTTCACCCTCCAAACCATTTAAAACTTTATAGGTGGCATGAAAATTTTCAGAACTCTTCCATGAGTATCCCAACGACCAGACGTCTCTTACCATTCTAGATTTTCTCTCTCAGTTTTGCAATTTTTTTCTATTATTAATGTGAAAAAATAGGTCAAGAAACGACCGCTGCTCATGCTCTTAGCTGTAGAGTTTTAGAATCAGAAGACTCTTTTTTGTGCACACAGAAGCATGCTATATATATTATGTTCTTGTAGTTCTAATATAAACTGATAATTAAATTCTAGCTAATAATATATGTCTTTTTGCTTGTCAGTTTGTTTTTGCAATATCTTCTTGCATTCGTCATACAAAAACGATTGACAAACAAACTTAATAGAGTATGCTGAGCTTTCACAGTTCAAGAAATTCAAACATAACTTTCACAGTGGATGATCATGCAGGGTCGGAATTTTCGATACTTACTAAGTCAAGAATTGAGTCAGATATAAAGACATATTCGACTCAAAACTGATATGCCCTATGTTTCAAATTATTTGTTATCTTAGAGCTTTTTCACACAAATTAAGTAACTATTTAAATGTTCAGATTTATCTTTTTGACCATTAGAATTACATAACATTTAATATTTATTTTAGTTTAATTAGAGGAAAAAGAAATATAAGAATAGTAAACTCATTGAAAACATAAAACGATATACATTTTGAAACAAAAAATTTATGCTTGAACAACAGTTAATCAAAAATGGAGAGAGTAGTAATATATTCGACTCGGATAAGATCAGGAAACCAAAAGGATCTTTCAATTAGATATAGAAAAAGTAATTATGAAAACATTAACAAATCACATCATCGATGAAAGACAACAATCAAAGAAAAATGTCATTTTTTGAAGGATTCATAATTGTCAACAATTACCATCAGATCTTATCAATAAAGAAGAGACAAGAAAATATGAAATGACTAATTTTCTAAAGGAGAGAGACACGATATATTTCATAGCTCAGTCGCAGGACCAGTCTGGAACACAAACGAGGTAAGCAACCAATTAAGATATCATGATTTTAAAGATAATTCTAACTACATATAGAACATTAAAAAAATTTACATAATTAATAAAGACATAAAATTTCAAATGAGTTTAGGACATAAAAACCGGCACTTAGTCAGCCGTCAAAAGAAACAAAAACAAAATTTAGATTGAGTTTATAGGTTAAAACAATTAAACACAAATATGTATTATATTTGCATAAACCCCTTTCTTATTAAACTTTACCCGTAAAAGTAGATAATAAGTGCCAATTTTCTTTCAAAAAAAAAAAATTGAAAATTGGCACTTTTGAAAGTGCCCGTAAATTTTGAAAGAAAATTGGCACTTTTTTTTTGTGTTCAAACAAAAAAAGTGCAAATTTTCTTTCAAAATTTTCTAAAATAAACCATTTTTATATGCATCTCGTAATCGAAAATGAAGAAGCCTCGAAAGAGACACTAGCTTTAACGATGGGGCAGCCATCTCACCAAAACCATCTTAAAATATTTGAACTAAACAAGTCAATAAAGACTTGAAAAAAGGATCCTTCCTCTCTCCACCCCTAAAGAAGAAGCTAACCACGAAACCTCTCAGTCTTACTTCCCCCTTAAGTATATAACCTCCCCAAATCTCAAAATCATACAATCCACAAACAATCAACAACCCACAAACAAGACTCCAAAATTTCATCTATGACTTCTTCACAAGACCAATCAGCTTTGGACCTCATAACTCAACACCTCCTTACCGATTACCCTTCTTTAGAGACTTTTGTCTCTAGCATTCAACAGCATACAACCTCCACTCTAAGCCAACGCAAGCCACCCCTTGCTACCATTTTGGTTCCTACTTCTGCACCGAAGGTTCAAGAGAATGATCATCAAAGACATTACAGAGGCGTGAGGAGAAGACCTTGGGGTAAGTATGCAGCTGAGATCAGAGACCCGAACAAGAAAGGGGTTCGTGTCTGGTTAGGTACTTTCGACACAGCCATGGAAGCTGCAAGAGGTTACGACAAGGCTGCTTTTAAGCTACGAGGAAGCAAAGCAATTCTCAACTTCCCACTCGAAGCAGGCAAGCACGAGGACTCTGTAGACAACAAAACTCTTGTAAGATGTAAGAGGAAGAGACAAGTGCCAGAGGAGAAAAGCCATAAAGCTGTGAAAAGGGAAGAGACGGATGCTCAGAGTGAGGGTTGTCCGTTAACACCGTCAAGTTGGATGGGGTTTTGGGACGGAGTAGACGGTAAAGGGATGGGACTATTCTATGTGCCTCCTTTATCTCCTTATCCATCACTAGCACACTCTCAACTTGTTTAATCTTTTAATGGTTTGTATCCAAGATTCCTCAATTAGCTTCTAGATTGGATTGATTGTAAAGACTTATTTTATAGATTCATCTCTTAAATGATAACCAATAAAAATTGCCACATCATATCTTGTTTACAAAATAAAAAGTTAAAAAAAAAATATTTTAAATTACCAAAAAAACTTTGATATTACAAAGTTCTAAATCTTAAATTTCTAATTTAAATTCTAAACACTAAACTCTAAATCCTAAGGTCAATTCTAATCTTATCTCCCTAATGTTAACTTTAACCCCTAGAATTAATCCTAAACTGTAAGGTTAATTTTATGCGAAGAAGTAACGTGCAAGCTCCGTCCATCCACGGCTAATAAATCATCCACGTTCAATTTCTTGGTCCATGGATCCTATCTTATCCGAGGGACGGTGATTTAATTTTTCTAAAAATTATAAAGCATTGTTTATGACCATGTAATCACCACCCGATATTTTTCCTTGTTTTGGCTTCATTCGCACAGTATCACGAATCATTAACCAATAGGTCACCCATTCTTTTACTACTCCAGCTCAAGCACGTTTAACTTTGGAGTTTTAAACAGATGTGTGACGGAAAAGGTAAGTAAACTTTGGGAACATAGATAACCAAATCATTCTTAAGCATTTTCATATATCACAACTCGGAATGTTACATAAGAATTATTAGTTTAAAAAATAAATAAGAATCAAAGGTTAGATATTAGGAAAAATGGTCATTTCATATCCAACATATCAAAATATATTCAGTTCATACTCATTTTATATGACCGTGCAAAACATACATGTATTTAAAAAAAAATCCAAATAACATACTTATTTTTTACCTTTTTGGTGAAATCATACCCCAATCGCCGCATCATCTATTTTTACTAACATGGATACATAAGCTAATTTTAATGAAGAAGATGCAATGTGTATAATATTTTTGTAAATGAAATAAAAATAGAATTTTTATAAAAATAAACTTATAGAAAATATAAAAGTTTATACTTTTTGTTGACTGTCTATATTTTTTATATAGTAAAATTAACAGAGCTTAATGAAATAATAAAATTTTAATCTTATATAAGAAATAACTTTGTTATAATGTTCCGATTCTATTAGAATATCATCCTTCTAAGAGTTTTATATGTGTTATAATGATTCAAATCCAATGTTAGTGTTGCAGTCGTGTTACTTGATTAATCTTGGTTATGTTATTTACATTTAAAGAGTTTGGGTTCATATATAATAAATTTTTAATCTCGTGACACAAAGTATTGGCATGATTACATAACCGAGAAAGATATCTATATAAACACATAATCAAGATTACCATAAGAGTAATTGATATACCGAAACATTATAAGGAATATATCTTTTTTATATAAGATTCAAATTTTATTAGTTAACTAAGTTTTGTTAATTTTACTAAATATGATAAAATTATAAGCTGTCGCAAAAAATTATAAACGTTTACATTTAATTTTTTTTTATAAAACATTATGTTACATGGAATCAGAAGCGGGTACGCAGATTCGAAAGCGTATGGAAGTACTGAAACAAGATCTTTTTAAAAATTAGGAAATAGATACGTGTTGAAAGCATATATCCATATATATATATATCAAAATAATAATTTTTTTATAAATTTCTGACTTAAAATTATATGATCACTGCGGATGCCCTCAAGTGAGATTTTCTAATAAAATATGAAGCATAGAAGTGTTGGAAGCATAAATACATATATATTATATAATAAAATTTTATAAATTTCTGACTAAAAATTATGTGATTCATTTTTTTTAAAAAAGCATTTATTCATTTACAATAATATTAAATGATTTAATATTAAAACTATAAAAATACACATAAATCAAGTTTATAAGAAATTATTATATTAATTATTTTTAATATTGCATACATAAAAGACACAACATATTTTAATATATGCTATCTCTCTAATAAAAACCTCACTACTTAAAGCTAATTTATAGTATTAGTTTTAATATTTTGTATATTTATGTTCTCTCTATTTCCTTACTATTAAAGTTTGGATTTTATATAAAAGCAAAAACATGATTTTATATTTTTACTGATTTATGACATTGTGTTTTTTTTTAAATGGAAGCGTGATTCCAAAACGGAATCATAAGCTTCTAAAATGATTTTAGAGAGAATATTTCAAAGTGTTTGGAAGCGAGATTTTGTTAGGTTCTACAAGTTTGTGATTCCAATTCCAGTTTCGATTAGGAAGGAGACATGAAGATTCAATGCTACTTAGATAAAAAATCTATTTTTTATTATTTTTAAAAAATATATTATAACGTGGCATTTTCATTAACAAAACTAATTTGCATATCATTTATGTCGGAAAACTTAGATGATATGACAACTGATATGGTTATTTTGCCAAATACGTAACAATATGTATGTAATTTGAACTTGTTCAAATACGTATATGTCTTTTCATGATCATACTAGTCGGATATGTATTGAATAATATTAGCGAACTTTGCAGGGTTTTTACTTTTGATTTGATCATCTAAGAATATTTTTTTTGAACATTTATGGCTTTCGTTGAAATTAAAAAAGTATATATGTAACTTAAAAATGTAAAAACAATTACATGAATGTTATTAAAAAATAATAATTGGTGAGCTGTCATATACGAGAGAGACTGCAATGGTTAAATAGGAATTAAAAAAAAAAAAACAAAAAAAAAAAAAAAATATTTCCTGTGGAACTTTAAAAATGTCTAGACAAGAATATATAGTGGAAGGTATGAGTATAAATATATAATAACTAAATAAGTTGTGTAATCTTTGGCACATAAGGTGGAGAAGACATTTTGATGATCATTTCCTATTTTAATATTTGAAATACACATATTTCAACTTGATCTATAGAAGACTGAATGTGTAATCGAATGTAATTACGGGTTGTGTTAAATATGTTTCATGTTTTGATACATTTATTAACCAATATTCTTTACCCATGTACACAATCAGAAAAGAAACACAAACTCAATAAAGTATATATATAAATAAAAGTTAAATATAATTTGGATATTATTAGCTACATAAATATAGTTATTAGAAAGAAATTCTGGTCATAGAGATTTTGTAATCCAATTGACAAGAACATACACGCCTGGGAGGTGAACCATGGATGTTACGATCAGTACAGTCACAGAGTATTTCAATATTTTTGGAAAATGTTGGATTTTTTTAAAATTCGTTTGCACATGTAGTCTTTACATTAGTTCCGCATTTTCCAGGAAAATGGTCTCCGACATCGCATCCAAAATTTTTTATGGCTTCCACTGCAAACTTAAAAGTACTTGCTATTTTTGGACTTGTAATTGGTTTATTTAGAACGAGACATGCGAGAACACAAAAAACCATAAGCATAACATCATACCTCATGGTTTGACTTAAACTCCTATGAAAACAATACTCCTCGTTACCAATTAATGATAAACATATACACTCTACAAAGGATAAAAATAGATATTGAAATCAATTATGAAAAAGAATAACTAAAAGTAATGATCGAGATAAAAAATAGTCAACGAAATAGATAATGAATCTTTCCCTTTTTGAATAATCTTCAAAGCATAATTAAATTGTTTTATTTATTTTTACTTAGTTCGATATCTCTATAATATTATTTGAGAAGTCACTTTCTTAGGTGTCGCGTTCACGTTAATTTTCACGATGGTTGATTACTATGATACCCCTAATGAATTAAAATACAATTAAATATTATTTCCTTTTTAAAAATTTCCAAATAACAATATAAAATAAAAAGGAAACATTTATAAAATTTACAAAACTGTTTAAAAACGAAAATATAAGTATATATAATATAATTTAATAAAAAAAGGAAAGTTCACAAAATAGTAATATTTAATTTAAATATATTTTAAATAACATAAAATATACCTTTGAAGTAATAAAATACTTTATATCTAAATCTTCTTAGATAAAAAACAACATCTGTATATAATGTGATTTCATAAAAAAAATTCACACAAAAAATATTGCTATTAGAAAAAAAAAATATTTTTTCTTTAAAAAAATAATTTTAAACAATAAATATATATATTTTCAAAATAATTATTATTGTGTCTATCTATCTATTTTATTAGATGGTTACATAAAATAATCAACTAACATAAACTGATATATGTTTAGTTGAAATTTTTTATAATTAGTATTATTGAAATTATCTTTTTAGTATATTTATTTGACTATAATATCTTACAATTACAGTAAAAATATAAATTCTATTTTACTTATATAGTATAATTTCTCAAAAACAATCACTTTTTACTGACTATTTTAAGGGATACTAAAATAAAACTAAAAATAAATTTAATAATAAACATCTTTTGATCAAGTAACTACACTTATTTTAAAATATCATAACACTATATAATTTAATGAGGTAAATATATTATTTATTAATAGCTAAAATTATATATTTTAAGAATAAGGATTCTGATTTACGTAAGTATTTTGATTATGGTTATATTAAGTTTCACAAACATAAAAACAGAAAATAACTACAATTATTTTAAAATACCATAACATTATATAATTTAACGAGGTAGATATATTATATTTTAATAGTTAAAATTATCTATTTTCTTAATAAATCTTTTGATTTTTAATTTTCTGTTTTTATGTTTGTGAAACTTAATATAAACATAGTCAAAATACTTAAGCAAATCAGAATCCTTATTTTTAATATTATTTAAAATAAATTTCAGTTTACCATCTAATCAATCTAAAGCATTAATTATTTAGAATTTATAAAATATTTTAATTATTGTAAATATTGATATGTGTTCAAAAGATTCTAAAAATTCATTTAGTTACTTATGTATGTAATTTAGAATCAGAAACTTTAGTTTTTTTTCTTCTAAGCACTTATATTTCTAAGATAATAATCAGCATAAATACAAATAAGACAATTAATCAAAAATTTAATATATTTAAATTATAAAAGATAATAGCTGAATTCAGAGAAATAAATAGAATCCAATATATCTAAATGATAACTAAATCGACCGTAAAAAGAATAAAACAGACTAAATATAACATATATAAAATTATATTTATAATTAAAGTAATATAATATTATAATATAAATTAAACATACAAACTATAAAGTAAATATCAATCAATTATTATTGTATATTTATTTTATAAATATACATGCCCGTGCATGAGCACGGGAAAATCACCTAGTTTAAATGTATTAAATAAAACTCCAGTTAAAGTATGACGAGAAAAAGCAATAAAATGTCACAGAAAAATAAATTTATTTAACAAAACAAATAACCATTTATAAATGGGATTAAACTCATGTTGTATTCTTACTATACAAATCTCAAATTTATTTAAACTGTTATCTTGGATTGCCCGATTTAACATAATCTTTTAAACAATGTATTGATGCTAAGACACAACTTCTGAAAAATAATCGTTAAGTTTAATGGAAACGAAACCAATTTAGGATTTTTGAAAATAATTGAAGGAATCAGGAGAATGACTCAGTGGTGGCTAGTTATATTAGGTTCGATTCTTCCAGCAAATTTCTTCAGCTGAACTCAGAAGAGGGAGCATTATATCCTCATCGTCACTCTCCAATACCCATAATTCAAAATCGATATTTCAAAAATCAAAGCCAGGTAAATCCATTTAGAAAAAAACTCATTTCAAAAAACAAAAAGATCGAATAGAAAAAGAAGGCTCAGTTCAGCGGGGGTATCGACACAGAAACGAATCTCCTATTAAAGGAAGAAACGACTCATTCCGGTCTGTTGAGCTTGATATTTCCGAGTCGTCACTGCCTTTTTTTCTTAATCTCTAGAAATTCTAATGGAAAACATTATTGCAGAAAAGAAAAAACAATCAATTTAAGAAGAAGACTATGATTAAACACGGCGATTGCAGTCTGTTTATATACTAAATCGTCATTAGGGTTTTGCTAGGTCTTCCGTAGAGGCCCATATTCGGCCCGTTAGTTCTCTCGCGTATGTTTTGGTTTAATCCGGTTCGCTTTATTTTGGTTCTCTACAAATTCATTTCATAATTTGCATTGGTTTATCTGATTCTATGAGTTAAATCCACATTATTTGTCTTCATAAGTTACAACATAAACCATGATATAATAATGCTGGCCTTGATATTAAAAAACCTCTACATCAAATATTATCTACTGACACAAGAGATTTTATGTACCATGGAGTCCCAGAACTGACAGAGCATACCAATAGGCTTCTCAAGCAACCTCATCAAAGCTGGAGTGGTAGCAGCAAGAATAGACGTGATGAGAATACAGTAAAGCTTCACATGATCAGGTGCAATACTAGTCATGGCCGTGTTGTGAGAAAAGTACATAGCCATCATACAAATCTGAAGCTGGAACCGCAACGGGAACCCTAGTGTGAGAATATTAAGCATAGAGAGCGAAACTGAGAACCCAATCGTGTTAAAGAAGACAAACAAAGTGAAAGCTATTCCGTTAAATGTCCCCATGATAGACTGTCCTGCTATATGAGGTGGTTGGTTTGGTGTGTTCACGCTCGCAGGTATGTAGGTATCTTGCCAGGTTCCACCTGGTGGAGTCAGGCTGGCCTGGAAAGTGGCTGTGGCCACGAGTGAAGCCACTACTAGTAATGCGCTACGTGCCTCTGATGGTGAGTCTCTGTGTTTTTTGAATGTGAAGTATTTGACAAGATCTTTATGGCTATGTGACTCTGATGACCTCTCTTGGCTTGTGGAATTAGTAGAAGTGGTTCTTTGGAGATTGGTGGTAGTTCCACCAATGTCTTGACCTCTTTGAGCTCCAGCTTTTATAAGTTTCTCGTAGATTTCTCTATCACCAGCTTCGCTTGGAAACATAACAAGCAAATCTAGTGCAGAGAGACACATCTTGTTCATAGCATTTACCTCAAATGTTCTTGAGTCTTCTGGTATTGCCTCAACCAACACTTCAATCACCTGTAAGGTAATAAAAACACAAACAGGTTTTGGTTTTACTCTTTAAGACAAGCGTTTAAAACTTTTTTTACCTGTCGATTTTTTCTCCAGGTTGCTAGATGAAGAGCAGTGTTACCCTGTTCATCTTTCTTGTACAACACTTCTCGATTCGTCTCTGTGATCAACTCAACAATGGCTACCACAGCTCCAATCTCTTGGTGCATTACAGCAAGATGCAAAGCAGTTTGACCTTGAACCGTCTCATCTTCTAAGCAATCAATACAGCTGGACACAATCTCTCTGATCACATCGGTTTTGCCTCTCATCGCTGCTACATGAAGTGGAGTCTTTCCATCTCTACTTTTAAGCCGGCAAAGCTTCTTGTCGAGTCCCAAAATTGCCCTCACGGTATCTACTTGGCCGGCTCCTGCAGCTGCATGCAGAGGGGCTAGACCTTCTTTGTCCAAATCAAAGACTGACCTCTGCCGTGGAAACTTCCCTGCCACGACATACTCTTCACTCCTGGGATTAAAGGAGTTGTGCAGAGGAGCAGTCATGATCTCTCTCGGTTGATGAATCTCAAAAGCATCCATTTTGGTTATCATGCAAAGGAGGAGAGAGATAGATAGAGAGATTGTGGTTTGAATATACAATGATGGTCATCACGACTTGACAGTATTCTATTACAGAAAATACCAAAGACATTTGACTTTGTCCTTAAATGAAAGAAATGGTTACAAGTGTCATTTGACTTTGTAGCATTACACATCATTTGGATTCTAGTTATCTAAGTCCACCAGACTTTCTGCCTGAGATCATAAACGTGCAGTTAAGAAGAGAGTTTCTGTTATTGTGGGAAGAGAAACAAAGACACTTAAACAAGACTCCTAAACCTATAATTCAATCCCACAAGTTTTTCTCTGTGGGGAATGTAACATTAACCTGTTTATCAAAATCATGATGCTAGTACAGCTCTTGGGAACTATCAGGGCATCTTTGCTTTCTAAAGACCAGGAATAGCCTCCAGGTTATACTTCTCTTCGGTTTTTTGAGTTTCACCTTCTTGGCTGCTCTCTGGAGGCGGTTTCGGCTTCTCCAACGCATCTCGAGTCCGGAGATACGTATAGGGAGAGCTTTGACGGCTTTTGCTGCTGGGATTGCTAATTTGACTAGCAAGAAACCTTTGGATGAGCCCTCTTAGAAACGGAGCCAGTGTATCTGGTTCATGTTCTAGGTAATACATTATTCCTCCCATACATGCACAGAATACAGCCACCTGTTTACATTGATCGGTTCTCTTGTTAAAGAGGAAGAAAGTTTTTGAAACAAAAAGTGTGGTCCCTTCAATTGTACCTCAGCGTTTTTAATGTTGGGAAGAATGTGGCGGTTGATAAGTATCTCCCACAGAGAATCTCCTGCTCGGGGAAGAACATATAGAGCAAGCTCAGAGCGTCTCGGTTTTTTCTCCAGCATAACCGAGAGGGCTGCTACACCACCCGCAAACCAATAAACGATCTTGTGGTCCTTGGATGCAACTTTTCTATGTGCACATATGAAAGCCTATTTGCAAATGTGACATAATTATTTAGGCACATACATTCGGGATTGGTTTAAGGAATCTAAAACTATTTGATTTACCTGAAATATCCCAACAAAAGCAGACAAGAAGGAAGTTGATCTAACTGAATCTCTGATTGAATGCCAAGATGTCCGGTAAGGAGAAGCCATGAACTGAAAGTGTACGATAACATCAGAAGATACATCTTATTAATGTCTGACTAAAGCATAAAACCAATAGAATTTGAAGGAAAACGCCTTACCTTTTGTAGGTTTAGAACAACATAAGGGACGAATGTGAGGGAGAAGTATAATGGGAATGTTTTCTTGAATGTAGCTGACATTGCATTAGCATTTTGGGCCAGACACGAGTTAGTGTTTGGATGAATAGCTGAACAAGGGATGATGGAAGCAAACTCATCCACTTTCACGTCACTGGCTTCGTTTTTACTAGCAATATAGTCTGATAAGGAAGCTACATCGATTGGACCACCTCTGCAGCATTCTCTTACAGCCTGGTAGACAGGCCTTGCAACTGGACCTGTCTTCTGAATAAATTCTCTATATGATTTTGGCAAGGTCTCAGGACGCATTATAAATGCATACATAACCTGCACGCATCAATCAGAATTGAAAAGTATAAATATGATAAAACAGAACATTTCTTTTCCCCACTAAAAAAGTCATCACTTTGATCTCCACAACATCTAATCCACCTACATGAACTTCTCCACTAGATTTCCTCACTATTTAGACTAGTAGGAGAAAAGTAACTCAATTACCTGAGCACAAGCAAGAGAAAAGAGTAAAGAATCTCCATGTCTCCAATGGCTTCCCCAAAGATGGAACTTGTTCTTCGACTTTGCGGAATTGTAAGCCGCCTGTTCACAAGATAATTGATCAAACTTCCAAAAAACACATCTGTCTAGTGATATTACTCAGTATGACACCATTACAATGTACCTGCCCTAATCTAGCCAAGAGGTATAGAGCAAGTGTACGCCGCTGGGTGGGATCATCTAAAGCCAAGACAGACAAACCCGCAATTGAACCTGCTAAGACTCTGTTCCCACCCTTAATCAAAGTCATAATAAAGAAACACTATGCTCAAGCAAACAGCAGAAGCATATAAGAAACGGAGACTCAACAATACAAACATGTAATAAACAGCCAAACAATAAACTTACGAATTCAATGGCGTCTCTTTCTTCCTCCACTTCCTCAAACAGCATCTAAGTGCATGATACGAACCCGTAAATCCACCAAAAAGAAGACCAATCCGACATGCTTCTTCCCTAACAATCAAATCTTTCTCCGAGACAAGTTGCTGCAAAACCATTGTTGCATGTATAAGTGAATAAAAATCACATAATAACTAAAGACCCTGCTAGGGAAACAAGCTCTTGACACGTCATATATACAATTAAAAGCAATATAGCATGTATGCTTCTTTAAGCAGACCTAAACATCTCTCATTTGCATCTAACAAAGAGGGAGGATAAAAACACCTAATAAAGCTTGACAAGAAGAACAAATTACAAAGCTTTGTTTCAAAATTCCAACACCTTAGCCAATTCATAGAAACAACATCTGAACCATGTCGGAACCAAGTCAATGACACATTGGTCCTAATTTCAAAACAATGATCGATCATAAAAGACACTAAATTTATCAAAATCAAACGCAATTAACCACGAAAGTCTATTCCTTTCCTCATTTCTCGCCTCACCTTCAGATCGAGAAGAGAGGAATAAGACTGCCCTCTAGCGAGCTTGAAAGCGCGGAGAAGGATTCCGATCCCAACCCTCACGCCATACGAGAGAAGGAAGCTCTGGCAGAGATTACCGATCGCATTGGCGACGCAGGAGACGTCGGCGTGATCGCAGAGATCGGCGTGGGAGCCACGCGCCGCGGAGCGTTGTCTTCGCTGGAGCTCGGCCATGGCCTCGCGTAGACGCTCCTCGGCCTCGCGGAGACGGCGCTCGGCCTCGGGGGAGTCCGGGGAGAGAGGAGAGGAGGGAGTAGACGGCTTGGAGAAGGAAGAAGGCATGTTGAGAAGAATGATGATAAAATGGAAAAAAATGAGGAATTGATTGATGGATGAAGGCAAAATTCAGAGGAGGTGAAAACAATATATTGGGAGGAGTGAGGATGGGGATACATGCCTTGACACGTCATTGTTTATTTTATTTTCTTTATATTAGAAAATTCCAAAATTGAACATTGTTTTTACGTTATCGGACACAAATTACTGACTCTCTGTGATTGTCTACTCGATTTGGTTTCACAGTGTTTATAACAAATTTTTGGTTGTAGATTAGAAACGTTTTAAACAACATTGACAAATATTTGGGTTTTGGACTATCGATACACGATAAGCATCTTAATCCACGATATTAATTACCCAACCGGTTTCATTAGTTATGTTACTCAATCTAATTCACAAGTTAAGTCCAAATTTCCCAAGAAACTGGAACTTAATGTACACACATCTAATAGCATCTTCAACCTCGTTCTATATTTTATTTAAAAACAGTTTAAAGTAAAAGATATATATTTCCATTTTATAGTGGAGTAAAAATCCATGACTCGAGTTCATATTCTTACCTTTTTTTCATGAATACTCGAGTGTATATTTTACTTTTTCATTATTCATTTTGTTTCAAAATATTTCATGTTTTAATATTTTCATATTTATTAGAAAATATATCATTTTAAATCACCAATACACTATTTTTTAATTAAGTATTCTTTATAACTTTTAACCAATAGAATTTGAAAAAAACATAATTATGTTTTTTTAAATTTTATAATTTACCTTTACTTAATATATTGAAAATGGAAAAAATATATCTTTAAAACAAACATTTTTCTAGAATATAAAATCTTTTTGAAACAGAGGGAGTGTTTTATTTTTCATTCTATAATGAAATAAGATTAATAGTAAAATCAACTTTATTTTAAGGGAAGAATTGAATTTTAGATCAGATATTGCTCTGACTAATCTTACTATCAATTAGTGTTAGATTCATGTTTATTCTGATCTTCCAACTTAAAATCAATTGGTGATAAGTGAATTAGTCTTATACATTTTATATTATTGAAGGTCCAATTGGATTTCTAATGTGAAATATATATTCTTAATATCCCTCTTCAGAGATAATGGTTTTTATCGACTAAAAATTTCGAAACTTTAGAGCGTCTATACTCGGTCGAGCAAGTTATGTACGATAATTATACCTAATCGAAAGGTTAAACATGACTTTATATATATTCGGTCGAGCGAGTCAAATATGATAATTATACCTAGTCGAAAGATTAAACATGAGTTTTATACCCGACATAAAGAGTTAGTAATTAAGGATTTAGAGTTTTTAGGATATGGATTATGATAACATGTTATATTTATGTTTATCATGGATTTCCAACGCAAAATCAAATGATGATTTATCGATTGGTCATGACCATTTATATATTACTTAAGATATGCAATATATATCCCTAATAATTAGAATTACAAAGCAGAACCTAAAAATTAATTTGCCAACCAAGACAAAAGAGCGGTGCCAAAGGGGGAGAAGGATCATGTGGTGCACCAGAGAGCGTATCAAGCCGGAGTTTGACCTCTTGGATGACCGTCTAAGATTGCTGTGAAACATTTGTGTGAACTGTGAAGCTTAGAGTTTTGTTCTATCCAGTTTTGGAGTGTATGGATGCTTGATAGCATTAGCATGCACTGTTTAATTGACCCGAGCAATATTTTTGTTTTGTGTATGGTTTTTGAACTATCTTAAGCATTCTTCCAAATCAGCATGAAAGTAAAGATGTTAGGCGCGAACAAAATGAATACCAAATTACCAATACATGTCTTGTACAAGTTAATGCTCAACGGCTAAACCTGATACCAACAAAGTGTTGTTGCTTACTTGTTCTATTCTATGGTCTCACATCAGTGGTAAATAACTGGTTATCAAACACTATAATAACAAGTTAACAACGGCTAAAACCAATCAATCTTTAAATTAACCAAAATTATTTCATGTTTTACTATCTTGGCCTGTGACTAGTACATCTTTTTAGAATGTGGTAAAGGATTATGGGCTTGGTCCAATAATTCAATTATTATTTTTATTTTTTTCCGTTTGTCTACGAAATTACCATATGTTTTGGGTTTGGTGTTACCTTACGGTTAAGTTAAACCAAAGTAATACGACTGGTCTTTACATTGACAACGACCATCCCCACCCCTCAATTTTTTTTCTTTTAGCTAAAAAGAAAGCCAAAAAAACAATGAAACGAAAGCTGGAAGAGGACGACGACGCCGTAGAGAAGCCCTCCTCCTCTCCTTCTTCCTCTGCTATCGACACTATCATGAACACTGCAGACATAGTTCTGCAGAAATCATCTCCTAAACTCTCACAGAAGCAAGACTACATCTTCCATGGAGGTTGATTCCTTCAAATCTCTCTACTTTGCTCTAGTTTCCCTTTTACTAATTGCTTAATTTCGTTTTTGTGAAGGGAGACGCCATGTGAGGCCGTATTACTTCGAGTTCATCTCTCATGTGAGTCTCTTTCTTCTTTTCTTTTCCTTGGTAGTCACAGTGAGATTTGAAATTTGCTACGCCATTTTTCTTAGGTGAATAAACGATGGACTGGGAAAACAATAGTGGACTTGTTCGCTGATGAATTTAAAGGCAGACATCGTGATTACTATGTATGTTCCTTTCATGTCCAATGCTCTTAAATCTCCAAAAAAGTTTTAAGTGTTTTTTGAGATTTTGATTTTTTGATTTTTATTTAAACGGGTACAGGTTGGGGCAGTCAAAAGTGGAAGAATCAAAGTTAATGGAGAGACTGTACCAGTTTCTTATATTGTCAGAAATTCTCAAAAGATCACTCATTTCGTCCACAGGTTGTTCTCAAAGTTAAAGCTAGCTTTTTTATTTGTATTGTTACAGATTATAACTGCATTGAGTGTGTATATCTAAGTATAGAATGTGTGGAAGGTTTCAGGCATGAACCACCGGTGATGACTGATGATGTTGAGATCCTTGTGAATGAACCTGATGTTGTTACTGTCTGCAAACCTGCTTCTGTTCCTGTGAGTATTATTCCACTTGATATATTTTTTACTTCATGTGTGGCCTCTTTAAGCGGAAACACCTTGTGTTCTTGTTCGCTGGAGATTTTGTTTACTGTAATTTGAATTAGACTCCATGCTAAAATAAGCTTCTTCTCTTCCTGTTAGCACTATCTAAAGTGTTAGTATACATCAAACCTTGTGGATACAAAAATCGCCTTTTATAGTGGTGTCTGGTGTGTGATTGATCTTTTTCCTTTTGTATAGGTGCATCCTTGTGGTCAATACCGTAAAAACACAGTTGTTGGAATCCTTGATGCTGAGCATGACCTCGGCCCTCTATTTCGTATCCAAACAACAAAAATTAGACAAGGATACATACACTTAGTTTACCTTTTCCTAAATAGTACCATACGAGCTATCCTTGCATCATTTTTCACAGCTATTCACCGGTTAGACCGTTTGGTTTCTGGATTGCTCATCATAGCTAGAACTGCTGCCAAAGCTGATTTTTTCAGGAAGCAGGTACTCATTTTAGTCTGCTTAGTTTTTTTTTCTTCGCTGTAACCATAATTCCCAAGTGCATGCTATTGGCTCTGGTAAACGAAAATGTCATAACTTAGTACTTATTTTGATTGTTTCAGATTGAGGGTGGAATGGTGAAGAAACGTTATATCGCAAAGGTTATAGGCGTGTTCCCAGAAGATGAGGTTTGAAGTTCTTTTGACTCTATTTATAATTTCTGGCTTGTTTCTAGCTATCAACCTCATAGAGTAGTTAGCACTAAAACTGATTTGAGGCCAGTCATAATATCCAAATCTCAAAAGGTTATTTCGGTTTGAAAGTTTATTTGAAGTAGCTGCATGACTTTGGTGTTTCAGAAAGTAGTCGACGCCAACATAAATTATAATGGTAGTGAAGGAAGAAGCACAGCAGAGGTAAAAACCTCTTTATGCTCGAAATACATTACATAAAGTCTTCCATTTATTCTTAGTAAGTAAATATCAGAACGTCTATATCCGTTATGCAGGACGCCAATTCGACTGGTGATGATAAGAAGGTGAAGGGGAAGCCTGCGTGTACCAAGTTCACCAGAATCGATACAAATGGAACTCATAGCCTCGTCTTGTGTGAACCAGTGACAGGAAGAACTCATCAAGTAAGCAAGTGATTCTACATTTTCACAAAGCTTCACTTATTAGCCTTGAGGAGTTACAGAGTGTTTTACCTTTTGTTATGAGGTTTCTCATTTCAGTTTTTTGATGATTGTAGATACGAGTGCATCTACAATATACAGGGCATCCCATAGGGAATGACCCGCTTTATCTCAATCAACAAGTGGATGATCTCAAGACCAAGATTGCCAAAAGAATTGATGCAGATGAGAGAAAGATGGTCTCCCCAGACGACTACGTGTATTCCAGTGATGATTTCAGCATCGATCCAATGTGCACAAACTGCCCAAAGTTGATCCCACAAGGGTAAAAAGATAAACCACCATGTGTTCTTGTGTTATATTGAGCCAAATGGTGTCTCATGTGTGCTGAATTATGTAGGTACGAGGAGCATGACGAGGCTCTTTGGTTGCATTGCGTTCGATACTCTGGAACAGGATGGGAGTATGAATGTCCTTATCCATCTTGGGCATCCCTTTAACCACATTTTGTTTGCCATTGCTTAGACGATATAAACTGTTACCAACATTTGTAGCAATTATTATCTTATCAAGTATATTCGTTGGATTCAAAGATTCTCAAAACTTTATGAAATGAACTGTGTCATTGTCGGCTAAAACCATGTACAAAAAAGAGAACCACTTCCGAGTTGGATTAGAGAGCCTAAGCAGTAGCAAAAAGAACCCATTACACATTAGATAAGAAGCAACTTGTAGTTCTTCACATCTCATGTTCAGCCATGTAACCGCAAATTAATTTGATTTTCTTAAGCACTTTTACTTGTTCTTCTTCAATGAGGCTTCTTGCTTGTTCTGTTCATTTCTGGAATGCAAGGATCTGTCTATCAAATCCTTTGCTTGCGCCTGACAAGCTTGATGTAAGATCTTCCACTGTTCTAAACCCAATCTGTCGGAAAAAACACAAGTAATGGAACATGAGGATCAGCCATAAAAAAAGATCAAATGACAAAAAAAAAAGCCAGGACTATATTACATAGATTGGTTGTGCTGCACACAGTTTTGATCTATAGATTCTATACTATGCATGACAGATTTTATAGATTAAGTAGGAACATCGACGAGCTAAGGAAGCAAATGGAGTACCTTATCAAGAAGAATATCTTGGAAATGCTCAGGACGTAAGACAATCGTTCGGTAATTCATTGCAGTTGTCTGCAATCACAAAAGATCAACACATATTTAGACTAAATAGCCAAGCTTGTGAACTCTGAAAACATTAGCGACAAACACATACCTCTGAGACACGGCGATTTTTTTCATAAGATTTCCAAGGCTGAGGTTCCATTACAAAAATACCACCCTGACAAAAGCAAAGCCAGCAACTGTCAATTACTCTTATGCAAACAAAAAAAAAAAGAAATGGCACAAGCAAGTATAGTAGCTTACCGGATTAAGAAGACGCCAAATTTTCGAAAATAAGTTGATTAAACCATCATCCCCCCAGTTCAAATGAACCCATTTTGTCACACTCAAACTGCATATACAAAGAAACTCGTCATCACTTCAGCTGAAGACATGCATAATGCAACAAAAGGCTATTCTCAATTCTTTTGCACTAGCAAAAGAGTTGGTGACTGTTCTTCTTTTGTTTCCAATCCTTCCCAAAAGTCACAGAGACCAAACTAAAGTGTAGGGCAAAAGGAAAAGGGGGTTTACCATAGAATTGTATCATAACGATTCTCGTCAAGGTTTCGGGTCTGAACAAAATTCTCTTTCTGAAAAGACACAACCTGAAACAGGTCTTTAGTTTCAGCGCTGCTGCTATTAGAGAGAGAAAGAGATTGCTCCTCAGAACCATCTGCACCAGTTTTCTTCTCACAAGGCTTAGCAGAAGTCTGCGTCCGAACAAAATTCCTAAGACGCCAGCGTGCAACCTCAATGAGACCTTCAATCAAAGAAAAAATTCAGTTCAATGCACATGAAATGAAATTGCTTAAGCAATAATAAACCTATGGAAGTTTCAAAAATAAAGTATATACATGTTTAACTCATCTCCTCCTACATAAAGGAGAAACCTTGGAAGATATAAATCATGAAAAGCAATAGTTCTTACTTGAATCAATATCAACTCCAAGAATGCTCCGGCAACCAAACTTCTTAGCTGAAAGAACCAAAAAAGAAAAACAAACATCAGACAAGACAATTACATTAAAATGTAGTTAGATGCTGAACTATTTCAAAAACGAACCAACCATGATGTTAACAGAGAAAGTTTCAGACTTTCGCATAGCATTCTCACAAGGATATGTAAACCAAGAGAATCAAACTACCAAATGGCGATAGTGATGTAGAACCACAAACAGCAATCAAACCCTAGTTAAAAATAAGTAATCTTTTCACAAAGGTGAAAACTTTTACCAATATGGATAGTCATGACGCCGCTATTGCAGCCAATGTCGAGACAATCCTTGCCTTGAAACCATTCTTTCTTCAACACTTTAAGACGAGGATCCTCATCCATATCATTGCTAATCTAAACACATTACAAGGTTTGTCCAAAAAAGACATGCAAAATCAGCAAACAAAACAAAACACTTTTAACATAAAAAAAGACATAAGTAATAAGGAGTGTAGAGACTAACTCTGTAGCCATAGTAGTTTTTGTAGTTTCCAAAAGGACAAGACTCTTGTCTCTTCTTCTTCTTGCTTGGATTGCTACCATTCCCTTGTTGTTTTTGTTGTTGTTGTTGTTTCTGCTTCTGCTCTTCATTGGTTACGACTTTCTCAGTACTCTTCTTCTCTTTGCTTTTATCTTTTCTCTTCCTCTTCTTCTTCTTGAGGTCGTTGTTGTCCTGATCCATTAGAGAAAACTGTGCGATTATTAGGGTTTCTGACGTGATCAACTCCGTGAAAAGAAACCAGACGAGGCGAATGAAGCTAGTTAGAGAGGTTTTTCCACCGAGAGGTCGAGTGAGCGGCGCAGAGCTAGTAGGAGGAAGAAGAATAAGCGTCACTGAAAGGTTTAAACTTGCAAAATGAGTCTCTTAATTAATTTCCTTTTTGTCTCTTTTTGATATAATTTATGTTTTATTGTTGATTTTTTTTTTTTTTTGTCAAACATTTTTATGTAAATTTAAGATTTTCGGAAAGCAAATAAGAGAATACTTACATTTTTGTATTGGAAAATTTAGTATCAAATTTTCAGAACATATTTATTTATACCAAAGAGTTGAATAAGAATAATATAAAGTTTGTATATGTAAAACTTAATCAAGATATATATCCTAAAACCAAATAATTTTCTTAAGTTTAATTAAAAACATAATTCAATATATATATATATATATATATATATATATATATATATATCTAAATAATAAATTCTGTAAATTAACAACTCTAACTTAATAAATTATTAAAGTTTCAATATTATTAATTTATAGAGTTTTTACTCTATTACATAATACTAGGTTCTAAAACTAAACTCAAAGTAAAGGGATGTACTAAATCTAACACTTATAATGATTTGCTTTAAAATAACAAATCTAGTTATTCCAAAACATATTCTTAAAATGTTATGAGGACAATGTACACAGTTTATAACTAAGAAGAGTGTCAAAGAGAGATACGAAAAAGAGCCACAGCTACTAAAGTTCTAGACGGAATGGAGCCTTAGTCTTCATCTTCAGTCTCTTCATCGTCATCCTCCTCATCATTGTTTCTCCCAAACCTCCAGCCATCATCCACATTCTCTCTATCTTCCTCCGTCTCCTCGCTATCTTCTTCTCTTTCTCTTTCAAAGCTTTCTTTTACTTGCCATGGTTTTTTGTCCATCCTTGCTTTGGCTGGTGAAGAGGTTGAGCCTTTCTTTAATGCTTTCGCTGGTGGTGTTCTCATGTTCGGCTTAGCTCTGCTCTGTTGTTTACCAGCGTGTTTCCTGTAAAAAACTTGATCACTACCTTCTTCTTCTAGATCGTGCTTGTTCGGTGTGTTGTTGTTGTTCTCTTCTGGTAAATGTCCTGGATGCTCTCTCTTCAAGTGGAGTTTGAGCTTGTACTCATGTATGTAAGCCTTGTCACACCCTTCATACGGGCATGTGTATGGACGCTCCAAAGACGCTGAGCCATGAACCGTTGCAGCAGCCGGTGTTCTGGGAGTCCTTGATACTTTCTCTGCAGGTGGTGTGTATGCAGGCGTCTCTCCAGCAGCATTCTGTTAAAACAGTTGTGAAAATTTAAGAGAGTCAGTACTAAGAAGGTCACAAACGACAGAATCTAATCATTTGTCTACTTATGCATCGTCACAGCCCAATTTAAGAATTAACAGTGAACACTTATGACACCAGAATCATCGAGTCTTAAGAACAGTTAGTTTCTGCCAATTTCAACCCCATTAAATAGCGGAAGATGGTTTTGTTAAAATCTTTACTCATGCAAACATAATATCAATTGTAGTTATATGCACCGGAAAGCAAGATAGCATAGCATTAACATACTTCCATCAAGTGATATTACTGAAGCCTTAACAATACTATTGAAGGAAAACTACACCCAATAGTAACATAGGTTCCCCCAAAGCTAGGCAATTTCCCCTACTCTGATATATCCTTTCATGGTCTTAAGTCTCAAACACAAGAAACGAGAGTTTTTTTTAAGAAAAAATATTGAATTGAAGTGATGAAAAACCTTTTCATGGTAGGCAGCAACATGGTTCTTGAGTTTGTATTCATGAGCATATCGCTTTCCACACCCAGAATATGGACAGATGTGATAGTTTTCTTGTGAATGAGTCTTCATGTGAGATCTGAGGTTAAAATCCAAGGAGAATGCCTGCATCCAATCATCTATTGTAAGGTATTGAAATGCCAAACTGCATATTTCTATCCACAAATTGATAATTACAGACCTTTCCACAGCCTTCATAAGTGCAAACAAAGTCCCTAGCCCCAGTATGAATGAGCCAATGTCTCTTCAACTTCGAACTATCCAGAAATTTCTGTTACACAACACATTAGAAGGAAAAGGTTAAGCAGGGTGAGGTTATTAAGCTTAAGTTTATTCATTGCTATACCTTATCACAACCAGGGTAATCACAAACATACTGCCTTTCACCATGGATGTGGGAATGCTTTCTCAATGCACTAACATCGAAGAAAATCTTTCCACAACCATCATAACTGCAGAGAAACAAAATCTCAGAAGTGGGTTCCGGGTCAGGGTCTGAAACATCAGTAGCAGTAGGCTCTTTCTCTTTTTCTTTCAGTTTCTTCAACGTTTCCTCTGTTACCACAAACAAAGCAAATTAGAGAGACTACACAATCATAACACAAGAACTAAGCATAGAGTGAAAAAGTTAGACGAAACTAAGCACACATTGAAAGTATATTAAGTTCAAGTACAAAGGAACAGCAATTATATAATCCCAGAGAGAAGCAAATACTGAAAATAAGATCAAGTATCAAGTTACAACAGACAGTTATATAGCAGAAACAAGACAAATCTGAAGTAGCAGGTAATCTCACTAACCTGTGACCCACTTGCGAAGATAGCACTTGGCACCAGTAGCAACAATATCTTGTGGTATCCTGAAGAAGAACAAAGGATTCATTATATATGATGTAAAGTCTTAATCTTTTGGTATGAATGACAAGGAAGGATAGGGTGTTACCAGTCCTTGATCCACCTAACAGCAGGAGGAGGAGGAGGTGCCTTGGATGATTTAAGGATGGGACGTCTTTCGAATGGATTCTGATACGGATACTGCTCCTCCATCGATGAATTTTCCAATTTGGTTTGTGATACAAATTGGGTGACGATGATTTAGGGTTAACAGTTCTCTCTCTTCTGGGAACGATAGAGAGAGAGAACTTGTATAAGCAATTAATAAATTTGTTGATTATGGAGTCCCTCCCTCCCGGTTCGATTTCATAATAAACTGATTTCTATGAACCAATCAGTTAGTTGTATGTAAAAGTAGGGCCGGAACTTATATCCGCTATCCAGTATCTGATCCGGGATCTGCTCCGAAAAACAATATCCGGGGGTCTGGATTCGGATCCGGATAGTGATTTCACGGATCCGGCGAATCCGAATCCAAATCCGAATCCGGATAGTGAAATTTTCAGGCAGGATATCCGGATCCGGACCCACTAAATATTTAAAAACATTTAAAATATAATTATATTTATATAGGTATATTATATATTTTTATTAAATATAATTAACTAGGTGATTTTCCCGTGCTCATGCACGGGTATGAATATTCATAAAAATAAAATTTTACAATAATTGATTTATGTGTAGTTTTAGTTTTGAATCAATTTATATATATAATTTATATTACTAAATATTATGTTATTCTAATTATACATATGACTTTGGATATATTATTGTCGATTTAATTATTTCTTGGATCAATAGTTGGTTTGTTTATCTTTCTTTTTCTTTTTTTTTTTTTTTTTGAATAACCCGGTGTATCCTGGCATCCACCAAGGTGGAGCCAGACTAGCGGCGAGTGTCCGTATCAGCCTACGTTATCGCCCGGAGTACGCCTCGGTCACCGGACGCTGGAGTTGGTTTGTTTATCAATTTGGTATATTGGATAATATCTATTTTTCGAGTTCAGCTATAATATTTTTTATTCTAAATATAATACAACCTTTGATTAATTTTCTTATTTTCATTTTGGTTGGTTATTGTCTTAGATATGTAAATATATTCTTAGATATGTAAATATACTATGGTTAAATTATGTATAACTTAATATATATTGTGCTTAAAATGAAATAAATAATAAGTTGAAGTGTTTGATTTAAAATTAAATAAATGAATATAATGATAATATTTTGAAGTCTCATGCATATATATAAATTCTACAAAAGAATTAAATTGTAATTGGTTAATATTTTCTTTTTCTTTTTAATATGCTTTGAGTCAACCTCTAATTTATGTGTAAAATTAAATATATTATTATTATAAATTATATGTTTTTATTGTAGTTAGATGTTTTTTTTGGATATAAATTAGATTAGCCGAGTCATTCATTTTGTGAGTATACTGAGTTAAATATATTTATTAAATTAAAATTGAAGTATAATTACTTTTATTTTGTTAAGTCAAATCAAATTAGTTTTATGTATCGCTTAAATATATATGTATTTTCATAATATCTATTTATTTTTTATTTTAGTTAAGTCAAATCAAATTATATTTTCATAATATTTATCAAATTATATGTTGATTTCTAAAAAATATTAGAAAATAAAGTGTAACTGATTAATTTTTAGATGTTCATGAACATATATATTTTTATTATTTTGTAAATATATATTTTGTTATTTAAAAATATATATTAATGGGGGATTACTATTTTGTGAACTTCCTTTTTAATAAAGCCATATTATATACATATAATTTCGTTTTAAAATTTGTTTTAAAATTTTAGAAATATTTCCTTTTTATTATATATGTTATTTGGAAAAATGTAAAAAAAGGAATTACATAAAAAAATAAATAATAATAATCTTAAAATCTAACAATTCATTAAGGGTATCTATGTAATCAACCATCGTGAGAGTTAACGTGAACGCGACACGTATGAAACTGACTTCTCAAATAATATTATAGAGATACTTTATTTTTTAGTAAATTCTATTATTTTAGTTTAACTTTTTGCAAAATAATATTTTTAATAGAATAAATGAATACTAAATTTTGAATTTTGATTTAAAAAAAAAAAAAAACCGAATCCGGATATTCGCGGGTATCCGAGTTTTAGTCCGGATATCCTGATGGCCCGGATCCGGATCCGAATAGTAATTTTACGGATCCGCCGAATCCGGATCCGGATATCCTAAAATATCTCGAATATCCGATATGTCCCACCCCTATGTAAAAGAATGTAAATTAACTTTTCTTTGGCTGTGTTTCAAAAAAAAAAGAAAAAAAAAACTTTTCTTTGGCTTGTTTCATAATCTTATTAATTTTGAACTTTTCTCTTGGATTTCCCATTTTTGTATATCTCTTAAAAGAATTTTGGTATCCAACGTTCATGACACCGGTTTAAGCACAGCAGAAACGGCAGTGACGAATCCTTCCGCAATGCAGCGAAGCACCATATTGTCACATCATTTACAATGTTCAACTCACTGATTATATAAGTATAATAATCTTTGTTTTCTTGTTTGTAACTAGGTGGCTTCCTGCACCATGTGCAGAAATAAAAGTTTTAAAAATAAATTTATATTTAAAAATAAAATTTACTTAATTTTTTAATTTATTATTTTATTACATTATTAATATTACATTAATTATATGTAAAAATTAAGAGTAAATAAACAGTTTTGTTTAAATATATGACAGTTCTCTCAAATAGAACTTTTTTAGGTTTTTCACAAAAATAGATCTTAAAACTAAAATGACGAAAACATCATTTATTATTTTGAAAATTTCAATTTTTAAAAAAAAAAATTAATCATATCCCCAAAACCCCACTCCTCAACTTTAAACAAAAAAGTTTACGATTAGTGAACCCAAAAGATATAAGTGTATATTTACTTATTTTTGATAAAATATTTAAGTCTATCTTGGTCATTTTTATTTTAAGGTCTATATTTGTGATTAAAACTTTTTTTAGGTCTATCTTAAATTTATATTTAATAGTATATATGTACCTTTTATCTTTTGGTTAAATTATATTAAATCAGATTCTATACTACTAATAGAAAATTTTGTTAGATATATAATTATCAAAATATAAAACTAAATAATATTTCTAAAATTTATAGATGTTATAAATAAAGCTAATGGTATTGGGATTAGAAAATTTTAATTTTAAAAAATACTGCATAAAATTTTGAAAAACAAAATTTATTAATACACAATATATAATTAAAAATACACTTAAAATATTTCAATATTTGTAATATTATTATATTTATAGTTCTACTATTATATTATTTATTATTTTAATGATAATTTATGAGTTATTTTGCTTATCACTATTTTAATACAAATTTTTGTTTAATCAAACATAAAAAGTAATATAAAAATATTTTTGTTTATTTTAAATTATATTTAAGAATATGCATGTATATATTTTAAATTATAATCTTAGATAATTTTTAATCTATTTAATTAATTAAATATATTAAATAAATTTGTAGAAAACTTTATAATTATCAAAAATTAAAATTAGACAATATTTATTAAATTTTTAAATATAAAAGAAATTAATAATTTTAGGATTAAAATTTAATAATTTTCAAAATATGTATACATTTTTGAAATTTTTGTAATAAAATTGTATATTTTAAAATATATAATTAAATGATATTTTCGAAATTTTTAATGACATATTGGTATATATTTATTTTAATGATGATTTATTATTTATTACCATATTTTAAAAATATTTCCAAAAATATAAATCGACATTAAATGTAATATATGAGTTGTTACCATATTTTATAAAGTTTTCCAAAAATATATATTAACATTAAATGCAATTGTCCATGTCATATTTAATCATATGACAAGTCATCAATTCTAGTAGACATGTCACCATTTTTTTGTGAAACTGATTCTAGAGAAGACATGTGGCAAAATCACTTCACAAATAATGTATAGGGGATGTTATCAAACTGTTGAACACATGCACAAAAAAAAAGTAATGTGGAAGTCATTCTCAATAGAAAGCTTTATGAGTTTTATGAAGCAAATATGTTGCAAACGATAGAAAAGAAACGAACTCAAAATGTTACACAAAATCTAAACATAATTCTTCTTCTTTGCCTCTCTCTCTTCAGCCATAAAATTCTTCAACCCATCTCTGTTTAATCGAAGCAACTTGTGCGCCCAATGAAACACGGGTTGATGATATAATAGCCTTACTGAAGTAAAAGGCAGCTGCTACTTTTACAACCAATTTTGCTTTAAATCAGTATGGTCTGTAGCGCATTGGCCGTCTGAACCTGGGAACTCTCCTGCAACATAACCATAAACCCATTCACGACATATGAACAACCATTGATGATCCACTCGAAAATATAGACACTGAATCGTTGCTGATTTTTGTGTCAAAGAGAGAGAGGAGGCAGAGAAGTTTCAAGAACGTACCCATAAGCATATGGAGCATAAAATGGAACTCCAGGCATGAATCCCCTCATAGGTCTAAAGGGGCGCCTTCCTCGGAACTGTCTCATTCCAGGGACGTTAGTTCTCTTTGCTGATACCTGATAAAATTCATCAAACAATGTAAGAGAATGATGACATATTTCATAAGACAATTAAAATATGTCAATGAACGAGTTTGCACCTTTATCTGACGACCATGCAGCTCTGACTCGTTCAGGATAAGAGAATTCTGAACAGCATCCTCTTCCACGAATTCGACATAAGCAAAACCTTTAGGTTGGCCAAACTTATCTGTCAGAATCGTAACCCTATTGACTGTTCCACAGGACTGGAAATGTTGCTGGACTTCCTCTGGGGTACATGCATAGTCCACCTAACATACGCAAAACCAAATAGTTACAGAAGGACTAAAGCTTTCACAGATACTGATAAAAGAAAAGATACATGGGAGATATCAGCTTCTAAAGGTAAGTAGTTTAGCAATTACAGTATAAACAAACTTCTTTCAATAAGATTACAAAGAGAAACATGTAAAAATCATATAGTGGAAGCCTCACATTGCCAACATAGATTGAACGGGAATCAACTTCCTCCTTCTCAGCCGAAGTAATAGCACCTGCTGGATCTTCATTGATATACAACAAAAGAAGAAAGATCATTTACCAAATTAGCTTAACGTACTCTTCTTGCCTTGAAAACAATAAACAGTATCAACAGATTTCACGAATATTCTCCAACGATTCCAATACCTAAAACTAAAAGTAACCTCATAATCAACAAAAGA